TTGAACATGTCCATGGATAATGTATGAGCTTTTATGCCGAGCTGGAGACCCCATCAGAGAGGGTGGAAGATGTTAAAGCTGGAGGGAGGGCTGCCCACTGGGGGCCGTTTTTTTCTTTTTTATGGCACTCCATCATGAGCCTGAGACCATCGACATATAACAGATGGATGTCATATCTCCGCTTCCTGCCAATGTACAAAAATGAAGCTGAAAAAGGATGCCAGTCTGGCAGTAGTAATCGGGGTCGGAGCTGTGGTATTACGGTCCCACCAATACACCCAGCCAATTAAATCCCAAGCAGGGTGTTATAAGAACTACCTAAAATGACAGAAACCAATTTTGGGAAAAATGTATTAACATAAAGGCAGCAGGCTTTATGACCTATACTGCAGTCAGCCACCAGGGGGCGATTTTTTGGCTTCACTTGGGGAGCTGTCATGCTGTTCATCTTCATCATGCCAATGTTTTTTGGGTTTTTTTGGTATCGAAATTAGGGTTGCAACTAACAGTGTCATTATTAATTAATCTGTCCATCATTTTCTCTATTAATCGATTCATTGTTTGGTTCAGAAAATGGTGGAAAATGTTAATCAGTGTTTCACAAAGGCCAATGTGACGTCCTCAGATGTCTGTTTTTTCCACAACCCAAAGATATTCTGTTTATTGTCATACATGGGGACTAAAAGTCAGGATATCTCGGGCCACTACTGCTTTGATTTAGACCATTTTCTTTCAGGTTCCCCAACTTAATGGAAATGCAGAACTTGACTAATATACAAAAAAGTGTATACATTCACAAGTTGTCAACAGAAATAAAAACCATAGTGACTTTTTTTATATGAACTATGGGATTAAAGAATGATCCTCCTAATCATCACTTCTAAATGATGATGATACCATATAGATACACAAAATTGTCCTTCAAATTCAGTCTGATGTGCTTTGTTCTGATGGATGAGATAGAGTTTGATAGATTTTTACTGCAGAGCGCTGCAATGTCAGTGGTTCTCAAACTTTTTTTTGGCTTGTGACTTCTAAAACAAAGTGACTTCCACACTGTCAAGGCATGCATATGGTGAACAGCTCAACCAGAAAATGATTTTGCATTTTCAGCTTGTTTGATTTGATTCATCATCACAGGAGGCCCAGAGGCTGAAAACTCTTTAATATTTCACAAGACAAAACAGACATGATGTGAATATCTAAAATACAAGTTTATTTTTCTGTCTTATACATTAACCCATAGAGAGCTTAGGGCTCAGACTATGATCTAAAGTGTGTTGTATCTTGTGCACTGGCTGCGACAAAGGAAACTAATTTATTTGGCTGAATGGTGGTTAAATGTAAAGTAAAAAGTTAAATATTGCCTATTTGGCAAATACTTCCTCTTGGTCAGTTGCCCTCCACTTCACAATATGACATCACCTCACACTTTCAAAATAAAGCTGGCGTGGTTAACATTGTAAAACAGTCACAGTTTGTTTAGGTTTATACACAAAAAATACTCAGGAAAAGATTGTAAGTTACAAAACATAACGTTTTATTCAACATAACACATGAATGAAACGTAACCTGACATAACTTAAGTGTGTTATGTAAGTTTGATGAGGTGGTGAAGTAGTGTGGGATTATGGGAGTTGTTGTCTTCACCACCATTACAGTCACTGCAGTCAGCTTCTCCCGGTTAGGATTTCTTTAGTGTTCATTTGGTTCAAGGAGGTTTCTACCGGGGAGCCTAAGTTATCCACAAAGGTCTCTCCCTCTCCAAACAAAACAGACCCACTGGATTAAAACCCGCTAAACTACACTGAATGAAAGCAGTTCCACCCTTAAAAATCATTGGCTCTCCCACACTGTTGGACAGACAAAGGACGTCCCGTGAGGGGCTGGCGAGCCGAGCTGCTGCTGCTGCTTAACGTTTCAGCTCAGCTTTTTTCTCTGATAAACTAAGATCCAGACGTCGATGGAATAAAATCCTTCTATCCGGGTTCCAAATCTAGGAGTTAAAAAGCACCAAGATCTAAACCTGGTTGATGGTAAAAATGTGGCTTCAAACTGGATAAAAAGCTCAATGTTATGACAGCTTCTGGGCAGGACAACCACAATTGCTTGACGCAAAGGCACAAAGGGGATATGACGCCATTGACAGGCCGACCAGGTGCAAACTCAGCGATACCTGAATAAAATGAAACATTTCTTGTTGAGTGCTTTGAACGTTGTTGGCGAACACATTTGGGATAATGTAAGAACTCAACTCAACTACATTACTAGATATTTACTGTGGAAATGTTATATTAGAGCTTTAAAAGAAATAGTTTACTTTTGGTTTCACACATGGCATGAACAGTGGTCTCCTTGGTTGTAGTCTTGTTTGTTTGATCTATCCATCCACTCCGCCACATCCGTATGGGCTTTCTCGCTCTTTATACTACGTCACCTGACTTCAATGGCGAACACATCCAGAATGACACTAGAGGGATACAAACAGCATCATATTGCTGCGGAGGGCCACTGCAGGGATAAAACTGAACTAAACACGCCACAGAATGAGCCTTGTTCATGTTGGAATTCAAATCTAAATGCAGAAAAGAAAGAATTGATTTTATAGAAACAAGACAAGAAAATGTGGTTTCCTGTTGAAACTTAAAATAAAACTAAAATTCAAAACTAAAAAACAAGAATATTTTGAAACTTTCAGATTGTGTTGATTTATTCTTTCTTTTCTTGTCGGATCAAAATGTTAACATCTCGATCAGACAGGAAGTCAGAATTTGCCTGCATAACAGTAATTCTGTCAAGTGTGAAAGATTCAGAAATGAAGACGGGGCTTGCTGCACACCGGAGTACTCTGCTCATCTGAGCAAACTTCTTGGCATTAATTTCATCAGGTTTGTTGATTAGGAGTACAAATCATGTGATTATAAGCCCCAAATACAATTTTGGTAATGGAACTGAAATTTGTTGAAACACTGAACATACAAAAAAATACAGAAATTCAAGAGTGCAGTCACTTAACTTCCCAATCTGCACATTTCTGGGCAGGAAAAGTCATGAGCAGAAACACATGCATTCACACGTACACATTTAGGGAATCACAGCAGCTCTTATCGCTTTCCCACAGTCACTCGCTCTCAGTTTCCCTTTCTCTGTCTGTCTCTCTTCCTGTCTTGCAAGTGCTATTTCCATCCAGCCATCAAGCACATTTCAAATAAACTTTTATAACACCACTAAAAATAAACTGTGAATAAGGTGTGTTTCTATCAGCTGAGGAGAAGTGAATAAATTAGCATCCTGAATGTGAAAAAGCATTAAAGACAAAACTATGTGCTGGAGAGTATTGTACAATTGTACAATGTATGGATATTTGCATGTTTTTGTCTTAGGTCTTAGTGCTGAGTTGGGTTGGATTATGATATCTGGTTCCATTTTGGATCTGGTTCCTGGTTGACCTGAGGCTGTTGAACCCCATAATATTATTGCATAAATGTAATTTATGAAGCAAATATTTCCTCAGTTCTATAATGAAATGGATGCATAGCTGCAACCCCTATATACAGCTGTAATGCAGAAATCATAATGGAGACTTATCTGAGGCTGTTTTGGACAGACATTCTGAAGACTTTTCAGAAAATGTAAGCTTGCCTTTGTAGTTTCTGCATGAAGAATGTATCAAAACATTTCGTATTACTGTGGAAATCTTATCCTCAGTTCCATCCTCCCTTTTTCTGGTTTGGTACTCCATGACTTGTCAAAAGAAGTACTTGAACAGAAACCAAATCTGCAGCCTTCATCCCTCTCTCTCTCCTCCAGCTGAGGTGAAAGAAGCCATTCTGGATGCACTGACTTATTGGTAATGTGCCGACTGTGATGAGCTGACATTTGCCGTTGACAGCTTTGTTCTGCATGAGTGTGCTGTGTCTACTCGAATCACACTGCGGACAAACTTGCGATGATTTCCGGCGAAATGCAGTCACAGTGCTGTGTACCGCCCCCTGGGCATCACAAAAGCTATTTCCTCTCTGAAGGTAGGTTATACTTGGCAAACAAATAAAGAAGAGAAAATTGCGGGGAAAGAAAACCTGCAGTTCATGCTGAAAGCCTGTCCCATTTCTGCCCGTTTATGGTTTTACTTCTGCAAATCCCGCTTCAGCTTTGGAATTTACACGCAGGCTAAACTCTCTTTGGCCAGCTCCATCGATCTTTCCCCTAATGCTCATCTAAAAGCAAGTCAGGTTTTACATGACTTTTTTCTTCACTCTGCTACTCGAGCATCCATTTTTTTCTTCAACCTCTTAAAAGCCTTTTTATCCCTTACATTTTCCCTTAAGCAGCTTTGAAAGAGAGAAAATGCACTCTGAGAGCTTCACAGCCTATATATTCTGCATCTGCTTGTTATGTGTGTTTTTTAAGGCTCAGATGGAAATATTCATTTATAGCACTTTTTCCCCAAAAAATTAGTCAGACATATTTGGTATTTTGGGAAATTGTTGGGGCTTGAAAAGACATTTCCATTGCAGGAATGGTGCATAATTGGTTGACTACTCCCTGTGGAGGGGTTCCAGGCACGTCCAACTAGGAGGAGACCCTGGAGCACACCCAGAACATGCTGGAGAGATTACATATCCCATCTGGCCTGGTAAACACTTCAGGGTCCCCCAGAAGGAAGAATTGTGGGATGTCTGGGCTACCTTGCTTAGCCTGCTGGGGCTGTTTTTCACGTTTGGGTGTGGTTTCCTAGTTCCAATGAAAATATTAATGTTCAATGTATAGAGAAGTCCAAGGCAAAATTCTTAAAGACATTTCAAGTCTCATTCGAAAGACTTCAGTTCTAACGGACTGGTTGGGAGTCTCAGGCAATGAGAATATGTAAACATGAACATACTGGTGGTTTCAGTAGGGATGTGATCACAATACAGCACACACCACTCACCGCACATCATGCAGGTGATTGATTGGTTTTCCCACTCCGTCTGATGTGTGTCTCAATCTATCTCCCTTAGTGAGCTTCGTGGACTGCAGCGAAGGGAAGGTGTGGCTTGAGGTCGGAGATTCTTCTGACTTCAGGGTGAGCGAGGATGGCGTGGTCTACACCCTGCGGCACCTCAGCCTTGCGGTAAAGGAAAAAGCCCTGCTGGTGGTCTATGCTCGAGACCTGCAGTCCAAACAGGTCTGGAAGACCAGAGTGCACATCCACGTCCGTCCAAACGGCAACAGCGCACAACCTCAACAGGTAACGCAGAAGCAATGGTATTCCCACTGGAACAGGTTGCTTTCAATCTTAAATGAATTAAAAAAAAAAAAAAACCTGAAGGAAGTGATTGGTCATTTAATCCAGTGGTACCCAACCTTTTTTTGTAAAATGTAAGCCTATAGTACAGTCCAGTGAACTCAAGTGCCCCTTCATCAACATTACAAATTATGTTCCAAATTAGTTATTTAACTATCGAATGGAAACCCTGGCAACAGCAGAAGCACCTCCTAGGGTACAATTACTTTAACAGTTTGTATTTCTTTACATTATTTTTATTGAATACTTTAAACTGCTAGTCAGACTAAACACAATTTAAAGATGTAACATTATGAAAAGGGAAATTACTAATAAATTATTAAACAATATAATAGATTAATAAATAATAAAAAAAATCATTTTTGGTTTCAGCCCTAATTTGCTCATTAATGCATTTGTTAGCTTGGATTATAGGGTCTGGTTAAGAATAGTGGTATAATATTCATGTTTTATCAATTCCAAAGTCACTGTTATTCATCCACTATAAGAATGTAATCCTCACTGACTCAAAATGAATATACAGTGCACACAGATCTGCTGTCACTGAGCTATTAGATATATTTGAATAATAGTGAGCTCATTAATGCATACAGAACCTGACAGCAATAACACATACCTGGATCTCAGTCTGATGATGCCAGCATGTGTGAAGCCTTTCTGAGAGAGAACTGCAATTTTTGACAAGCGGAATCATTAAACAGTCATCATGGGCTGTTATTTCCCCCCAAGCCTTCAGTAATGTTGGATGAACTATGTACAGATATAAAATCAGCTTTTCCAGCCCAGCAGGCGTCTGAGGTTGGCCAAGTGCTGATTGCAGAGACAAAGCGAGTCAAACAGCCATCTGTTAGTCTGTTTCATGTACAACAGCGATAATAAGGCCCTCTGCATGTATTTAGACAAGACACTGGCCTTGATTGGCTGTTCTTCTAAACACAGCCCAGAATTAGCCGGCTGCCATATGCTTTAGCTGCTATCGGCGCCGCTCGCTGCAGTCGGTGAGGAGAATCACAGAGTGTGAAAGAAGCTGTCAACAATCCCTCATAAGGAGAACTGGTGAGGAGCAGCCATGGCAGTTAACAGCCAGTCATTTGCCAGGGGAGCAGTGTCAGCACTGTGCCCTTCAGAGCAGAGGCAGGACCAGGGATGTTATCAAATGAAACTGAGAGTGAGACAAACAGGCATCACATTTACAGCCCACCAAGCTCCAAATGTCAGTAAAATCAGTCTTTGGTTGACAGATCAGACTGGGTGACCTTACAACAACACCGTAGTTATATGAAGTATATGAGTCACAGTCCTTTATCCTGGCCAGCTAATTTTTTGATATGCAAAATGTATGTTTGATTGAACTAATATTCCCCTAAATTGTTCTGAGAGCTTTCATTTCCTACTGCATAAAGCTCAACTGCAGAGAGAAACAGGCTTTTGTTTAAATGAGGCGTGTCACGATATAATTACAGCTACGATTCAATATATTGCGAAACTGTAAGCCGGGTGATATATTGCAATTTTTTTAAATCTAATTTTAAGAAAACTATTCTAGTATAAAGTCACACACTACTGTATGTATGTGTGTGTGTGTAGGTCTGTCTGTCTGTCTGTCTGTCTGTCTGTCTGTATGTATTTTTCAGAATTCATGCAATATCTCAAAACTAAATACTGCAACACGATATTTTCTGTATTTTCATACACTCCTAGTTAGAAACCTCCCTTTGTCTGATCTGCTTCTGTTTTAATTTTGAAGTTTATGGAGGACCATGTTTACATGTTGATTAAGTATAATGTATATAATTTATTTATTTATTATTATTTTATTAATTATAAAATAAGCGTCACATCATCCTTACCTCATCCTTGGTTTCTTTCAGTAAGTAATTGTCATCTACTTTGCCATTTTTTCATCTGCTGTTAAGCTCAGCAGTTGTAACTTCCCACACAGTTGTTTTATATTAAAAGACATCCAGAATGTCCCCCATACTCGCTCATCCCTACTGATACAGATGCACTACATTCACTTAGATAACGCCTAGATAACACATATTCCTATTAGGAAAAGTCATTAAAATAAGACCACAATAAGAATATTTTAATCACAAAAAAGTCTTTGAATTCTGTTTACTCTTTGACTTTGCTCTCATGTAATGACTCAGATCTCTTGTTTATCCTCCTTTTGTGTGTATTTTTACAATGTATTTTATAAAGTCTTTCAGTGATGGACAATGTGAGATTTATTGTAAATAAATGCAATATAATGGAATCCAAGACCTATATATCCTGCTGAAAATACTAATCCCTACCTGCAAGGTCATGGGCTAAACCCCCAATGAGAAGCAGGTGAATTGTGGGAGGGCAGAATAAATGAGAAGCTCTTCCTTTTCCTTATTATCTTCTGTGAAGCCTGCAGTGTGGCTGCTCACTGACCACTCACACAGATCTGTGGTCGCATAGGCCACACACACACACACACACAGATACAGTGACAGGTGGTGGTCATTTATCAGACGGACTATAATGAGAGCATTAATCCAAGCCTCTAGAATGAGGTCAGAAATACCCTGAGTCACCAAGCCTTCCCAGCAGGCTGTCTCTGCAACAGCCACGGGGTGTGTGTGTGTGTGTGTGTGTGTGTGTGTGTTGTGTGTGTGTGTGTGTGTGTGTGGTGTGTGTGTGTGTGTGTGTGTGTGTTGTGTGTGTGTGTGTGTGTGTGTGTGTAGCCCAATACACGATGCTTGTTTACTGTCTCTGCAGGTAAAGCCCAGTGATGCAACACTGACTCAGCGGGTACCAGAGATCTTGTTTCCATGGCACAGCGTGGTTGTCAGGGGGGATGGCACTCTGAGGCGGGTGAAGAGGGACTGGGTCATTCCGCCTATCAACGTCCCTGAAAACTCACGAGGACAGTTCCCTGAGGACCTAGTCAGAGTAAGACAAACACACGTACACACACACACAAAGGCCTGTCTTACAGAAGCTGTGAGGACATAAGGAAATGAGCAAAACAACAGTGATATAGCACATTCATTCCAAAGGAAATACAGTGTACTTCACAAAAAAAGCAAAGAACATTAAAGGCACATACATATACAGACTAATTAATTACAAGTGTAATTAAAATGATCAAATGCAATTTAAAAAGGCAACCACAGCAGAATAAAGCTAATCAAATGCACAGGAAATAAGGGAATGATGTTAGTCTGCTTCCAAATGTTAACAGCGAGCCAGACCTAATACAATCTGACAGAGTATCTAGCAGCTGGGAGCCTAAAAAACTAAAAGCAGCTTCACCAACTTTGCATTTAACCCTTGCAACACCCAAAAGGCCTGTACCAGATGACCTCAGGTCTGACGAGCCTGTCAGAGATACACTGTGCAGCCAGGCGATGCAGGGTGTTTCAGACAAGAAATCAAATTTAAGCATGAATTCTAGAATTAACTGGAGACTTGCAGACTTCTGAGAACTGGTGTAACTGATGAAATCTTTTCTTTTTTCTTAAAACTGCGACATTCTGAATGTAGTCAGTGCACAGTCTTTGTAGGTAGAACAGAAGAAGGCCATTGCAATATACAACTGGAGATAAAAAAATTAACTCGTTTGCATCCAGCTGTGACAAAAAGCCCCTTCTTTTTAAACATTAAAAGCAGTTTTAATTTGCTGACATGGCCTGGAAAGTCAGATCACCTTTAGCAATGACATCTAGGTTTCCGACTGTCCTTACAGGCACCTTGAACATCAGGAGTTTCTGTTTTATCAGTGTTCAGTTGCGGTAAAACCAATTATTTATGTCTTTAAGGCAGGGACAGGAATGTTTAACTGCACAATTATGCAACATAATTAATAAACAAACTGAACAGCAGCAGACCAAGAACTGAGCCCTGAGGGACGCCACATTTAATGTTTACCTCTCTAGACATAAAGTTCTTATGCAAGCGATGTAGAAATATGTTGTCTACTTTAGTAGGATGTAACCCAAGCAAGTATTGACCCAGACAAGCCTACACCCACTTCTCTTTCTTTTCAACTAATAAGCTCTGTCAGAGCCACTGAACCCTTTGCTTTCTGCGTTTTATCATGCATCCAGCTTGCTATGTAGCTGTGACTGCTACATTACACACAAATTAACTACATGATGCTTGATGATTAAATTTTGTTCTTGACGTCGGTGAGCAGTATATGTAATAAAATAATCAGCTCAGCTAAAATGTTTTGTCAACTAGTTTTTGGAGCTTTTAACTGCATCTCACGGTGTTTAATCAGCAAATGCAGCTGGCTCAGGTATCATCAGCTAGGCCTAGCTGCTAAGCCTAACGCTCAATTTAAATGTATTCCCTTAATTTCAGTGTAAGCTTGTTTTGTTCTGAAGAAACGAGCTATTGGTTAACTAAAGTGGTTCTCAAACTTTTTCTGTCATGCACCCCTTCGGAAGTCAGAAAAGGTCACATCCCACCAACCTGCAATTTTTAGCAATCATTAATAATGATAGAGGAACCAAAACCAAAGCAAACTTGTGTTTCCCCTGCATAAATCATATTAATTCAACTTTGTTCTACTCTTTTCACCTTGTCATCCACGTCCCACCTGTAGTGGCTCTAACATATTACTTATTATTGTACTTTTGGGAGCCTTTGTTCCTGTAGCATGACATGCCAATTTTAGCTTCAGGAAAAGACTAGTGGTTGTGCTAACTAGGATGTGCAGCCTTGAAAGCAATGTGTCACTCACATCCTGTCCTCCTGAATACCTGTTATTATCAGCACTTGATCTACTAATGTGTTCTGTAGATCATTTGTGAATGTTTAGTGCTTCTGTTAGCATTAGTACAGGAATATTATGAATGGTACTTCCTTTCTTTCCCACCCAGCCCCACTCAACCTGCAAAGAACACTCAATTACACAATTAAAACTGAAATTATTGTTTTAGTTAAAAAAGGTATTTGATTTGAATTTGCAGCTCCATATCTCCATAATTCATCCTGCCTTTTTTGTGTTATGTAAACATGGTTGTGTACATGTCGAGAACTGTCTTTGCTGTGCTGCCTTTCTCTCCTTTGTTTTAATCATATGGACAGCACGCAGGATATTAATGGAGCACCAGGCATCACAGTTTATTTGACTTCAGCTCAAATCAGATTTTCTGTAGTTATGTAGCAGCAGCCTCAAGCGTTTGCTGAGTGTTGCCTGTGCAAGCCTAAAGTCATACTGACGTACGAGACACATCCAGGTCAAACTGCTAAAGTTTAGCTTCACTTGAATATTATTATATTTTTACCTTTTTTAACAGGCTTACTGGGGAGAAATATCTCCCAAAATAAACTGACAGCAGCAGATGCCACAAACAAGTGAAAAAATGTTTATTTTGTGCAGGCACTTTTACACAGGATATGCTTTTATCCATTTACACTATTATTTACTACATTGTTCCAGCTCCATCTTTTCCTGTGTATAGTAAATTAACTGTAAATAAGTTTCCGCCATTCCCTTTCCTTCTCTTCCCCTGTCTGCCTGTGCTTCAGATCCGCTCAGACCGGGATAAGAACCGGATGCTTCGTTACAGTGTGACGGGCCCTGGGGCCGACCAGCCTCCGACCGGCATCTTCATAATCAACCCAATCTCAGGCCAGCTGTCCGTCACCAAGCCTCTGGACAGAGAGCACATCTCCAACTTCCATGTAAGACTCTCCACACGTCAGTCCAGGTCACTGTACATTTTGGATTGTGGTGGTCTTTTCAGTTCTTATTACTTGCACATCTCACTTTTATTGCATCTTAAACCCAAAACACTATGTTGTGTGTGCTAAAATTCCAAATTGTGCCAAGCACATACATACAAAGAAATCATATTTGAAGATCATAGGATAAAATTTGGTCCTACAATTGGGTCTAAAAATGAAATGAGGTGAGCTGCAATAGTAAAAGTGTGGTTACAGCTTAGTTTCACAGAGTGACCAAGGGACTCTTGTTAGAAAAAACACCTTAGAGATTAGCAACAGCATAAAACAACTTCCACACTGTAGTTTATTCTCTTCGAGAAAGTTTAGCATAAAGACTGGAAACTGGGGGAAACCAGTCTGCCACTCTGGCTTTGTCCAAAGATCAAAAATACCCTCAGTGGTTCGGACCAATTCATGTCCTATGAGGAACTACTGGCAGCTACAGTATGAGCTACGGGCGTGGTTTAATGCTAGGCGTATGTGTTTTTATTTTCATCTTTGCTGTCACTCTGCTGGATATATTCTCTCTCATGCACAGAGATGAAGAAGAAATTCTTTAAAAAAAAAAAAAAAAATCTTGGTGTTTGCTCACTATATCTAATACAGTCACATACACCTCTGAGAGCAGAGTCTAACCTTTTGATCTGTAGGAATGCACACACACAGCTCACACAGGGGAGTGGAAATCTGGAGTCGCAGCAGGGTGATTTGCATTTAAGCCGCCTGATGAATATTCATGTGATTGGATGTAGTTGTCAGAGCTGGGAGGTGGGATTGGCCAGCATGTTTATTCATGAGGGAGGCTTTGGCTCTTTGAGAGCCTCATACAGATGCTTCATGCGCTGTAAAGGAATGGCTTATTGAGGGTCCAAGGCCAATCAATAGTTATATTCAGCATTTTTAACCATTTTATGCTAAATACATAAATCGCACAGGCCTGCTGTTTAAATTAGGGACATCACAGTCTGTTAAAGTTACATTATGTTCACTGAAGTTCTGTAAAAGCTGGATATGCTTTGTTCTTATACATGTTTTCATTGCATTGTAAAGATTGCTCTTTTTCTGTAGTTTTCATGATTTTGATATTCCATCTATGAGCTGATTGTAAAGGCTAATGATTACAATATTTTCCATCGAGCTTCCATACTCAAACCTGCAGGCTCTACTACAAAACACATCCTGATCACCTGGCTGCAAACAAGTATAACTTGACAAAGAATGTGGAGCACTTAAGAATAGGGATGGGAATTGATAAGATTTTATTGATACCAGTGCCATTGTCGATTCTAAAAATCAGTTCAATTCTTAATCTATTCCCTCATTGATTCTTTATATTGGATCTGAATATTGTGTAGAATTGAGTAGAAAACGGGCTGTAGCCTGAGAGCTAACTGTAGCATCAAGGAATAAAAGAATATTTGTACAGCATTCGGTTTCCTTTAGGTTTTCCTATCCCAAAAAAAATCTGCTACACCTACTAGTCTCCAGCAGCATAGATGCATGAGTTTGACATTGTTTTGCAATACGCAATTAAAGAAAAATATCCCCGCACTGATAAAGGGATTGATGAGCTCGGAGCCATACAATTCCTTGGGATCAGACAATTTCTCAACTGGATCCGGTTCTCGATTCCCATCCCGATTTTAGAATGAAGCGTATCTGCTAGAGGTGTGAATCTTCTGGCTTCACAATTGAATTCTCCTGTCTCCTGTCGACAATTCAAATACAATGACACTAGATCTCAACATATCACATTCTCAAAGTTGTCAGATTAATCTGAACTTCCTAATTATTTAGAAAGAGCTTTCAAAAATCAGACTAGAAGAATTATTTATTTATTATATTGTTGTTATTGTTGTATATATGTTATATACCATTTAACCTAATGGAGTGTGTGTGTTTGTGTGTGTACAGTTACGAGCCCACGCTGTGGACCTGAATGGGAATCAGGTGGAGAACCCCATCGACATCGTCATCAACGTCATCGACCAGAACGACAACAGACCAGAGTTTACGCACACCATCTTTAACGGCTCTGTGCCAGAGGGATCCAAGCCTGGTACCAGCACACACACACACACCACACACACACACCACAACCGCACGACACCCATACACACACACACTTAAAACTTGTGAATTTAATCCTTCTTCACTGACATATTCATGCTGTGTGTTTTCTTGCAGGATCCTTTGTGATGACAGTGACAGCAGTCGACAAGGATGATCCAAAAACTGCCAATGGGATGCTTCGATACAAGATCCTCTCCCAGAATCCCCAGAGCCCCTCCTCCAACATGTTCACCATTAACAACAAGACTGG